AGCGAGCTTCCATTCCTCTCAAAACCAAATATCTCATCAAGCTCCTTGAAACTGACCTTGTAGTGCACGCCTTCCATGTCAAACTCTATGTGGCCGAACCCTTTGCCATGTAAACGCTTGGGATCTCTCTTGGGGTATATGATAACCTCCAAAGTGGCAAGAAACTGTTGTGTGATCCCCTCATAAGCAACATCGCTCATCTCAAAGAACTCGGCCAAACCCATGTTTTGAAAGATGAGGGTAAAATCATCGAGTATCTCAAGCTTTCTCAACAACTCCATGTCAGGAAACCGACCTTGAGCCACCTTTATAGAGTTAAAATGGTCTAAATACTCCTCAGTAGTCGGGAAATGCTCTTCCTCGGGCTCGACCTTCGGTTCCTTCTTCGGCCTCTTGCCACAATCGGCTTCATGAGGGGCCAGGGCTCTCAGCTCATCTTCATTGTTTCCAGTAGCTGCCTGATTCCCATTCCTTCTTGATTCAAGAGCCGGTACCGGAGTGAGCTCGGCGTTCCTTGCTCGTTTAGCAGCTGGCTCGCCATCGGGTCTTGTTGAGGCTTTCTTGCTTGTTCCAGCATTACGTGCCAAGGCAACGGCTTTTCCTTTCGTACCCCTCCTTTGGACCTCGCTTTTGTTCATCTCATGAGCAGGAACGGTTCGTTTGCCGGTCATCTGCAAGGGAGATTCTCAAGAAAACCGTTAGAATTAAGTATATCGCTAAGCACATGTATCTCAAGATGGCAAGAACAGAGATTTTTCTATATCAAGACCGGTCTTATAGCTTCTTCAAACATCAAAGAGATTAACAACAAGCTAGAACAACCGGTGAGAGGCAAGATATCTAGACAGCTCAGCTCAACAACTTAGTTCACCATTAAAGCCGATTCCAAGCGCATTTTCTCAAAAAATTTTAAAACTCAAGAACAATTGATTTTAAGTGCAAAGACCATTTTTTCATGTGTTGTCTACCCTTATGGAATTTTTAAAATTGTTCCCAAAGGCCGATATGTTCTAAAAGAATCGATTCCACATTTTACAAACATTAAAGCTCGCAAAGGATGAAGGAAAAAGATGAGTCCTTTAAGATGCAAATACCTTTGGGAATCCAAGATTCAAGCTCAGTGAGATGCTTATGCAGAATAGACAACACCCTAACGAGTCTAGAGCACTTGGAATCACGTGAAATGAATGAGAAATGAGAGAGTTGCGTTCGCGAAATGCAGAGAAAAGAGTGAAGAAGGCAAACTCTGCGTTTTAGCTCGGTATGGAGGCTGGTATGGGCTGGAGCGCGCTTTCCAGCTGGCATTTGGACTGTTGTGGGACTGGTCCCCCCTTTTGCTCCAGCTCCAGCCGTTGACTGCGCCAAAAATCCTCTTGACCGAGGGTTCAAATTCAAATTACCGCGCAAAGCCTTCAAATGGACGCGGTGTGGGAATGACGTGGGCCGTACGGTCTAACCCGATTTTTCTCGTGTTAACTTGAGCGGCCTCGACTTGTTCCACCACGAGGGTACCAAGCCGAGTGGTTTGAACTCATGCTAACGAGTAAATCTCCATGGCCTTCAAGTCTTTTCCTTAGACCGCGCAAAGCCTCTTCTTTGATCTAAGTGTTCCAAGTGTTCTTGTTTTTTGATCGTTCTTGAAACCGGGCACCTCGTCACGCTCCACCACGAGGGTATCATGCCGAGGTAACTTGTTTTAACAAAGAACACTTGGTGCTTGGGAGTTTAAACGGGCTGGCCTTGGTGTAAACCGGTCGCGGCCTCGGATCGAGGTTTTTAACCGTTTTAAGTAAACATCACTCCTCGGCATAATTATACCGAGGTGTTCACACCGTGAGCCTCCCCCACACTTAGTCATTTCACCACTTCACTTCACATACACGGCCATGATGGAAATAAGTCGAGGAGTTTAGCTGAGGTTCTCAAGCTTTCACTCGGTAAAAGGTGACCGCGGTATGAATATACCGAGGGTCGATACCGAGGCTATGAATACTCTCTGACTTAAATCATCAGGCCGTGTCTTTTTCAAGCTTTTCTCTCAAGGCTCACTGTCTAACTCCTGAAACACTTAACAAACCCTTCAAAAAGCTTCAAATAAAAAGAAAAAGAAGATGAAAAACGAAATATTTACAAGGATAAGCTTGGGGTGTCTCCCAAGAGCACTTTGTTTAACGTCCCTAAGTTTGAATTTTCATACCTTTTCAGGCTGATTCCAGTTCAAGAAGAGGAACTGAGGTAGCTCCCTCTCTTCTTTCTGATGCCAAGTAATTTACCCTCTGACCGTTTACCACAAAGCCTTGTCCATCTTTTCCTTTTAACACGACGGCTCCATGAGGCCTTACTTCAAGAATTGTGAACGGACTGGACCACCTAGACCTTAGCTTCCCAGGGAACAGCTTAAGTCTCGAGTTGAACAACCGAACTTGGTCCCCTTCTTTGAACTCTCTCTTGTGTATCTTCTTGTCATGGAGCGCCTTGGTCCTTTCCTTGTAAATTTTAGAGCTCTCAAAAGCATCTAAACGGATTTCCTCAAGCTCGTGAAGCTGTAAACCCTCTTCTCTTGTGCGGTCTTGATGTCAAAGTTCAAAAGTTTCACTGCCCAAAGAGCTTTGTACTCCAACTCAACCGGTAAATGGCAGCTTTTCCCATAGAGCAATTTAAACGGTGAGGTTCCAATGGGGGTCTTGTACGCGGTTCTATAGGCCCACAAAGCATCATCAAGTTTCTTGCTCCAATCTTTCCTGGATGAGCTCACGGTTCTTTCCAAAATGGCCTTTATCTGTCGGTTAGAGACCTCCACTTGGCCGCTGGTTTGCGGATGATAAGGGCTTGCCACCTTGTGCCTCACTCCGTGCTTCTTCAAAAGATTCTCAAGAGTCTTATTGATGAAATGGCTTCCCCCATCACTGATAACTACTCTTGGAACTCCAAACCGTGGGAAAAAGATGCTCTTGAAGAGTTTTACCACCGCTTTTGAATCGTTGGTTGGAGATGCAACCGCTTCAACCCATTTACTCACATAGTCCACCGCGACAACGATATACTGATTCCCGTATGAGCTTACAAAAGGTCCCATGAAGTCAATGCCCCAATGATAACACCGGATTTTTACCATTTTTATGGATCGTTTTAATATCTTATGCATGTGTTTTAACTCTGTTTTCAATGTTTTTTAAGTGATTTCTATGTTTTAGAGTTTTAAAAGACTTTTCAGGAAACTTGGACTAAAGATGTGCAATTTGGAACAAATGAGCAATTTTGGATAAATGCAGACCGTTAGAAGTATGGTACTCGATGGAGACCTTCTCACCGTCTGATCATCCCCAAAATTTGAGAAAACATAGAGGAGACAACCAGCTTTCTAATGCAATTGGTTTGGAGACAATCCAACGGTTAGATCTTCAGATATTCCCGATGCACTCAAGACAGAAAATACAGTCTCGAATGAGAGCATAGGCCGCGACCGCGGCCAGACCATGATTCCCCGCGGTCAGGACCACCGCGACCGCGGCCAGACAACGTTGACGTCCGAAAGTGACCTAATTCAAGCCCAAGTCCAGCCCACTACTCATTCTTCAAACCCTAGACGTTTCCAACGAATTAGAAGGCTATATATATTCGTTTTAGGTAATTCTAATGACCAAGTCGTGGAGAGAGAGCAGAAGAGAGCTGCACGCCTCGGAGTTGCCGTCTTCGGGAGAAGAAGGAGTCGCCGAAGGATCCATCATCGATCTTCATCTTCATCCTCGTTCTTTGTTCTTTACCTTTCTGTTATTTAATTTCCAGCAAACTACAATACTTCTGTGATTTTTTTATACACTATGATTGAGTAATTCCCTTGTTGGGTTTTAAGGGATTTTTCAAAGGGATTCATGGATTGATTTCTGGTTTGTTAGATTAGGGTTTATCTTTAGATTTCTTCGTCTAAATCTTCGTTTCGTTTATGTGGCTTGGATCGATAATCTAGCTACTGCGATTAGGTTGATTTACTCACCGAAAGTGTTTGTTGAATCGATTAACCCTATTTAGATGAACAAATTTTCTTAGACGGCGTGAGTCGATCTAAAGCTTTTTGTGAAATTATCAAACTAATTTATCTAGAAACTTAGAGAACTGAATGGGAGTTTAGTAAATCTGAGTGAATTAATTTGTGATTAATAATAATACGTGAGTAGGTTAGTCTGAGTTTGATTTCAGGAACACATCTATAGAAAACTCTATGTTTGATTCTCTTGTTAGCTATTCTATGATTCCCGGCGAATTCCCTAACGCCCAACACCTTCTCGTATTGATTTGATCTTATTGTTTACTTCTTTTTAAGTTTATTATTTGCTATTTTCGTCACTGTTCACAACCCCCAAACAAACACCCATATTTTCATCTTAGCTCAGTTCTCATCTCAAGTAAACTCGTATTGCAGTTACTTGGTCTTTAGTGGATCGACCCCTAAGTATTACAACGTACATCTGTGCGCTTGCAGAAAACTAGGGTTAAAACCTGAGCACATCAAGTTTTTGGCGCCGTTGCCGGGGACCTTTAACGTTGCCTACGAGTTTCAGGTCAGAATCGAGTCTAAGGTACGTTTTCTTGTTCATTTTTGAAAAAAAAAAAAATCTATTTATTATTTTATATAAAAAATATATATACATATATAGAAATTAATATATATAAAAAACGGAAAAATACAAATTTATATATATATAACTAAAAAAAAATATTTATTATTATATAAAAATATATATATATACATCTATATATTAACATAAGGTAGCTACACCTTATCACCCACAGACGAGTAGCCAAGTGGAGGTATCAAACAGAGAACTCAAAAGAATTTTGGAAAAGACAATAAGACCGACAAGAAAAGATTGGTCAGCAAAGCTCGATGATGCTCTTTGGGCATATAGAACTGCGTTCAAAACCCCATTGGGCACTACACCTTTTCAACTTGTTTATGGTAAGGCTTGTCATCTTCCATGGGAGTTAGAGCTCAGGGCATAATGGGCAATAAGAAAGCTGAATTAGATATCCAGACGGCAAATGAGTTAGACGAGATTCGCCATAACGCCTATGAGAATTCTAAGATCTATAAGGAGAAGACGAAGGAGTTTTATGACAGGAAAATAGTTCATAAGACGTTCTCACCTAATGACCAGGTTCTACTTTATAACTCACGTCTAAAATTGTTTCCCGGAAAGCTTAAATCTCGATGGTCTGGACCTTTCAAGATCAAAGAAGTTTTACCCTATGGTGCTGTGGTTTTATGGAACCGTCAAGGAGGCGATTTCACTGTCAATGGACAACGTCTTAAGCCATATCTTGTAGATATTCAAGAAGAAAAGGAGGATCCAATCTCCTTAGCAGATGCGCATAATGCCTAAAAGACGATCAAGTCAAGCTAACGACTTAAAACAAGCGCTTAGTGGGAGGCAACCTACTCGGTATTTTACTTATTTTCCTTTGATCTTTATTTTCTATTTTGTTGCATTTTTTTTGTTTCATTTAATTTCAGGTTTTTACAAAGAAGAACGAATAAAAGACGAGAAGAAATCATAAACCGAAAACCGGCCATCACTCCGGCCCCGGTGAAACTTCGACCGACGGTGCAACCGCGACTCATTCTTCCGGCAAGGTAAGTACATCTAAACACTTCAAATTTCTACTTCCTTATCCATCCTTTCTTAGATTTCATCACACTGAGGACAATGTGAAATAAGTCTGGGGGAGGATGTTCATCCGTTACTAACGAAATTTGATTTGTTTTGAGTTTGTTTTGGACATAAAAACTATTCAAAAAGTTTTCGAAAATTTTTTCAAAAACTATTCAAAAAGTTTTCGAAAATTTTTTCAAAAATTTTTCAAAATGTTTTCAAACCAGAAACATAAATAAACAATACTTTGATGATTTAGACCAGTGTGCTTCTACGCTATTTCCTCGTTTTTTGCTCTTTCTGTGATTTAGGCCTAGATTAGGCGGTAGCTAGAGTACTTACACTACGAACTCCCACCAGAGGACTTCTATTCATGGAGATTCTTTCTGACAGGATATACTAGCTCATTTTATTTGAACTTAATCTTGACTTAACTTTCTCATTAAAGCATTAGATCAGGGAAACGAATCATACATTCAGGACTCCTTTACCCTTTTACCACTCTTTGTTGATCCTGAATGGCTAGTTCACATTTAGCTAGTTCCCCACCGTAACCCAGCCTCTTTCAAACCACATGCACTCTTGTTTTTCATTGTCCCATATGCAGATATGTGCAAAAACGTCGGAGAGAAAGAGGATCAACGCGGTGTTCAGTCACTGAAGACAGAGACCTGCGATTTCATTGGAATGGTTTAACAAAAGGAGAAAACTCAGTTTGCCTTGGAAAAACTTCAAAATCTTGGTACAATTTCGTCCCTTAGACTCTCTCTCTATAAAAGGTTGTTTTCCCTTCGCAAAAAAAAAAAAAAATCGAAAATAGATGAAAAGGAAATAAAATATAAGAAAGGAAATAAAATAAAAACCTTAAGAGAGTCTAGGAGGATCGATTTTATACTTGAGGCAAGCTTGATTCGATTATTTGGAGTTTTGGAGTTCATCCATCTGATTCCTAAAAAAGATCTAAGTCTGGGGGGAGTAGCTGTTTACAACAATGGAGGAAGATTATGCCACAGCATTTGGCAAAGGAGAAGTGACTGAAAATCTGCGGTCATCATTAAGGTCCTTCTCTCTCTTGCGGTTTTGCATAATATCTTGCATCCCCCAGTTCTTCAGGTAACCCGAAACACTTAAACTCCACCACTTAAATAGCCTTTAATGCCAAACGCCGTCTACCCTGAATAATGCCTTTGATGAGAATTCACTACTATACTTAGTGAATGTAGAGAGCTAGTTGACTGGAAGTTAGATCTAAGTGTGTAGATTTTTGCATGACGGATTAACGGACTAGTTTGTTTGTATTTTGGTGAGAATTTTCTAGACTAGATCCAGATAGATGTTTTACGATAGGTTATGGTTTAGAAAGACGGTCACTGAGATATAGTTTAGTTCCTGTGGGTTTTTAAAGATTCTTTCCTAGCTTGATCTATGTTTTGTTTGAGGACAAACAAAGGTTTAAGTCTGAGGAGTTGATAACACCGGATTTTTACCATTTTTATGGATCGTTTTAATATCTTATGCAGGTTTTTTAACTCTGTTTTCAATGGTTTTTAAGTGATTTCTATGTTTTAGAGTTTTAAAAGACTTTTCAGGAAACTTGGACTAAAGATGTGCAATTTGGAACAAATGAGCAATTTTGGATAAATGCAGACCGTTAGAAGTATGGTACTCGTTGGAGACTTTCTCACCGTCTGATCATCTCCAAAATTTGAGACAACATAGAGGTGGAGACAACCAGCTTTCTAATGCAATTGGTTTGGAGACAATCCAACGGTTAGATCTTCAGATATTCTCGATGCACCCAAGACAGAAAATACAGTCTCGAATGAGAGCATAGGCCGCGACCGCGGCCAGACCATGATTCCCCGCGGTCAGGACCACCGCGACCGCGGCCAGACAACGTTGACGTCCGAAAGTGACCTAATTCAAGCCCAAGTCCAGCCCACTACTCATTCTTCAAACCCTAGCCGTTTCCAACGAATTAGAAGGCTATATATACTCGTTTTAGGTCATTCTAATGACCAAGTCGTGGAGAGAGAGCAGAAGAGAGCCGCACGCCTCGGAGTTGCCGTCTTCGGGAGAAGAAGGAGTCGCCGAAGGATCCATCATCGATCTTCATCTTCATCCTCGTTCTTTGTTCTTTACCTTTCTCTTATTTAATTTCCAGCAAACTACAATACTTCTGTGATGTTTTTATACACTATGATTGAGTAATTCCCTTGTTGGGTTTTAAGGGATTTTTCAAAGGGATTCATGGATTGAGATCTGGTTTGTTAGATTAGGGTTTATCTTTAGAGTTCTTCGTCTAAATCTGCGTTTCGTTTATGTGGCTTGGATCGATAATCTAGCTACTGCGATTAGGTTGATTTACTCACCGAAAGTGTTTGTTGAATCGATTAACCCTATTTAGATGAACAAATTTTCTTAGACGGCGTGAGTCGATCTAAAGCGTTTTGTGAAATTATCAAACTAATTTATCTAGAAACTTAGAGAACTGAATGGGAGTTTAGTAAATCTGAGTGAATTGATTTGTGATTAATACTACGTGAGTAGGTTAGTCTGAGTTTGATTTCAGGAACACATCTATAGAAAACTCTATGTTTGATTCTCTTGTTAGCTATTCTATGATTCCCGGCGAATTCCCTAACGCCCAACACCTTCTCGTATTGATTTGATCTTATTGTTTACTTGTTTTTAAGTTTATTATTTGCTATTTTCGTCACTGTTAACAACCCCCAAACAAACACCCATATTTTCATCTTAGCTCAGTTCTCATCTCAAGTAAACTCGTATTGCAGTTACTTGGTCTTCAGTGGATCGACCCCTAAGTATTACAATGTACATTTGTGCGCTTGCAGAAAACTAGGGTTTAAACCTGAGCACATCACCCAACAGTCGAAGACCTCTACTTCAAAGATTGGGTTATGAGGCATTTCATTCCTCTTGGATATGTTACCGTGCCTTTGACAAGCTTCACACCTCGAGACTACATCTTGAGCATCTTTGAACATAGTCGGCCACCAGAAACCGCTTTGTAAAACCTTGGCAACCGTCTTGAATGCACCTAAGTGACCACCATAAGGGGAACCATGGCATTCTTGTAGCACCGGATGGATCTCTTCTTCGGCCAAGCATCGCCTATAGAGATGGTCCTTGTTAAGCACGTAAAGATACGGCTCATCCCGATGATATCTCATCACATCTCTAAAGAACTTCTTCCTCTGATAAGTATCAAGATCTGGTGGCTCTAAACCGCATGACAAGTAGTTCACTAGATCCGTGAACCATGGGAGGCTTCTTTCCTTGATCGTGTTGGCCTCCTCCACTTCTAAGTAAGACCTGACTAGCATGAGATGTTCCTCAGGTAAAGCATCATCTATGGGGACATGTTCTTCAATCCTCAGCCTAGAGAGGTGATCTGCGGCTCCGTTCTCAATGCCCTTCTTATCAAGTATCTCCATGTAAAATTCTTGGAGCAACAAGACCCATCTTAGAAGCCTCGGCTTAGCGTCCTTCTTAGACATCAGATACCTCAAGGCCGCGTGATCTGTATAGACTGTGACCTTTGATCCCACAAGATAACTCCTGAATTTATCAAATGCAAACACAATGGCAAGCATTTCCTTCTCGGTGGTCGCATACTTTTCTTGAGCCGAGTCTAAGGTGCGGCTTGCGTAATAGATCACATGAAGCTTTTTATCTTTCTTTTGCCCCAAGACAGCTCCCACAGCATAATCAGATGCATCAGTCATCACTTCGAATGGTAAAGACCAATCAGGGGCTTGTACAATCGGTGCACTGATCAAAGCTTCCTTGATTCTTTTAAACGCTTCCTCACATTCTTCATCAAAGACAAACTCCACTTCTTTGCACAATAGCCTAGTCAAGGGTCTAGCTATCTTGGAGAAATCTTTAATAAACCGCCTATAGAACCCTGCGTGGCCAAGGAAGCTTCTTATTCCTTTTACAGAAATTGGAGCTTGTAAGTTCACCATTACTTCGATCTTAGCCTTGTCTACCTCAATGCCCTTCTCTGATACCTTGTGTCCCAAGACAATACCTTCTTGGACCATGAAATGGCACTTCTCCCAGTTCAAGACAAGCCTATGCTCCTCACATCGCTTTAGAACCTGAGATAGATTAGCAAGACATTCGGAGAAAGAGGAGCCGTATACGGAGAAATCATCCATAAACACCTCAACTTTCTCTTCAATTAGATCAGAGAAAATGTGCATCATGCATCTTTGAAAAGTGGCCGGTGCATTACATAAACCGAAAGGCATTCTCCTATAGGCATAAGTGCCATAAGGGCAAGTAAATGTTGTTTTCTCTTGATCTCGGGGGTCTATGGGTATTTGAAAGAACCCCGAGTACCCATCAAGAAAACAAAAATAAGGATGATTAGCTAGCCGTTCAAGCATTTGATCAATGAATGGTAAAGGAAAATGATCTTTTCTTGATGCAGAATTCAATTTCCTATAGTCAATGCACATGCGATGGCCGGTTATAGTTCTTTGTGCTATAAGTTCATCCTTATCGTTTTTCACCACCGTGATCCCACCTTTCTTGGGCACAACGTGTACAGGAGATACCCACCGTGAGTCAGAGATTGGGTAAATTATCCCTGCCTCGAGGAGCTTTAGTATCTCCTTCTTAACCACCTCTTTAAGGTTCGGGTTAAGGCGACGTTGGTGCTCAATAGAGGACATGGCTTGGTCCTCTAGGTGGATCCTGTGGGTGCATATGTCAGGAGAGATCCCTCTAATATCAGCCAAAGAATACCCTATGGCTCTCCTGAACTTTCTTATTTCACTAAGCAATGCACGTTCTTCATGTTCAAGCAAGCTATCGTTAATGATCACAGGAAAGGTGGAGTTTAGACCCAAGAAAGCATACCTGAGCCCTGTTGGTAGAGGCTTGAGCTCAACAGGGGGTGCATCAGCCTCATTCCAGTCGGCATCAAAGCTGCATTGGCTCGGAACAGCTTCCTCGGCCTTTTCCTTGTTCTCGCGTGGTTTACCATCGGCCTCGGCACAAGCTGTCACGGCCATGATATCCCGAGGTGTCTCCTCTATACCCTTGGACCCCTCATTGTCTAATATGTCGAGGCCACTCTGCCTGAGCTCTAGAAACCTCGCCTCAGCTCCAAGTTCCTTCGGTTGGTCCAAAAGACGCTTGTACACCTCGCTTTCATCGTTCAAGTACCCGTGCTCGCTTTGTTCCATGTCAAGACCACTTGTAACGGGTCTTCTGCGTTTAACTCTTCGAGGAGCTCATCAGCTAGCTCCTCCATAACTTCCACATAGAAAACCTGACCTCCAATGGTCGGTTTGTTCATCATTTCCTTCACGTTGAATTCATAGTCTCGGAACCGATGTGTAGTACAATCATACCCCCTCTCACATCGATTATGGCTCCAGCGGTTGCTGAAAACGGTCCGCCCAAGATGATGGGGTCTAGAGGTTCCTCGTCCATCTCAAGAACTATGAAACCGATTCTCAAAGGTAAATCCTCAAGCAAACCCACCGGTAATCAAACCGATCTGTCAGCTAATACAAGAGAGATCTTGGCCGGCTTGTAGCTTTTGTATCCCAGTCTCTTGGCCACCGTGTAAGGCATTAAGCTCACATAAGCTCCAAGATCACATAAGCAGTTTGAGAACTTCAAATGACCTAAGGCACACGGTAAAGTAAAGCTGCCCGGATCGGATAGCTTTCTTGGTATAGATCTTCTTTGTATTATAGTGCTGCACTCATGGCTCAGTATTACCATACCCTGGAGCTCCTTTGTCTTGTTGAGGATCGCGTCCTTTAGAAACTTTCCAAGCTGAGGTATAGCTAAGAAAGCATCTATGATGGGTAAGGTAAGTTGCGTGTTCTCCAAGTGTTTCTCAAAGACCGCCTTGGCCTTGTCTAGGATTTTCTTTTTGAAACGCCCTGGGAATGGTATCTTTGGTTGGTAAGGTGGTGGTGGAACGTAGGGCTTTTCAAGCTCGGTTGTCTTCTCCACCTCTTTCCCTTTGTCTTTAACCGGTTCCATCTTCAAAACTTCATCGTCATGCGCGTCATTTGAGGCTGCCTCCCCCTCTAATTGCTCGTTGGACTCAATGAGCTTTTTCTTAGGCGTTGGAGCTTGTAGTTCTTTACCACTCCTCAATGTGATAGCGTTCACATACTCCTTGGGGTTTGGCTCCGGTTTACCAGGTAAAGCCGGGCCTCTTGATGATGTAGAGGCTTGGTTTTGCTTAAGCTCTCTGATATCTTGCTGCATTGTTGCGTGCTGGCTCTCAACTCTCTGCTGACCCTGTAACAGTTGCTGTAAAATCCCACAGACATCGGTTCCCATCTGATTCTGACCCGTTCCCTGAATCTGTTGCTGATTACCCATCGGCTGCGGATTGAACCCTGGTGGAAACTTGTGTTGCTGCGGTTGGCGGTTGAAGTTGTTACCTTGAGCCGCTTGATTCTGCTGAGTGTAGCCGTGCTGTTGCCCACTGAACTTTTGCTTGGGCTGGAAGGTATTCTGAAAAGGAGCTTTTTGAGCATAGCTTTGTTGTTGTTGTTGAGCAGGGTACACTTGGTCTTGAGGGTTAGCTACATTTGGGTTTCGGTATGAGAGGTTTGGGTTACTGTTGTAGTTGTTAAACCGCTGATACCTCTGTTGATTCCCTATGTAGTTCAGCTCCTCTTGCGTTAGACCATCTTCATTAACATTGTCAAAACTTGGCCCTTGCTCATCAAACTCGCCTACGAAGTGTATTGGCTTTTGAGTCGCCATTAAAACCTTGTCAAGCTTGCTCTGAAGCTCTCTTATATCCTTCTTCATGAGCTGTTCATCACTAGATCCTTCTGAACGGTTTGCTCTATCAAAGTCTTCACCATACGTGTCATTGGACATGGCGAGGTTTTTCACTAGTTCCATTGCCGCATTGATCTCTTTCCCAAGAAAATTTCCATTTGAAGCTGTATCGAGTTGGTTTCTGATCTTGGGGAGTGCACCTCGGTATAAAGTACTCAAGAGGGATGCCTCTGAGAAGCCATGGTGTGGGAATTGGTTTGTATAACTTTGAAACCGTTCCCAAGCTTCACTAAAGCTCTCGTTGTTGTGTTGTGTGAAATTTGAGATCTGATTTCTGAGCTTAGCCGTGCGTGATGTGGAAAAGAACTTCGATAAGAACGCCAGTTTACACTGCTCCCATGTTTGTATAGAACCCCTCGGGAGGTTCTTTTCCCACTGGTGAGCTTTATCACCAAGGCTGAAAGGGAACAAGCGTAGCTTGAAGCTATCTTCCGAGACGCCATTGATCTTGGTTAAGTCGCAGACCCGATCAAACTGATCTAGATGCTCAAGAGGGTCTTCTCCGGCTAGACCGTGAAACTTTGAATTTTGCACCATATTGAGCAGGGAAGCTTTAACTTCAAAGTTGTTATTTTGAACCGGTGGTGCTTGAATCCCGGCTCTATATTGGTGCGCATTAGCTCGGTCATTTTCTCCAACAAAGACCGGAGGAGGTTGTCCCTGAGCTGGTGGCGGTGGCGGATGAACATGATGGGCTTGTTGCTCATTTCTATTAGCTTGTTGTTGGTTTTGCTGAGCAAGCCGTTCGTTTCTGTGAGCCTGCTGTTGGTTAACATAGGCCTGTTGTTCATTTCTTCCTGCCTGCGCCTGATTAGCCTGAGCCTGGTGCTCGGCATCCTGAGCCTGTTGCTCGATCCTTTGCTGTTCTGCCATTCCAAGCCTTTCAAAGTGCCGTTCTCTCTCGCGAGCTCGCCTCTCAATCCTGTTGATGTTATTGTCGTATGGTAAAGGTGGTTCTGTGCTGCGAGACCTGGTTTTCATGCACCTGAAATCAAAACAAGAACTTGCAAACGAGTCAGTAAAACAAAAGAAAGTAAAGTCTGGATCTTAAGCACAAATAAGAGACTAATGCTCCCACAAGTTGGCAACGGCGCCAATTGATAACTAAGAGTTTTCACTCTTTAAAGAGGTTATCAATACCCCTGTCCTTGTAGTACAAGGGGTTATCAAACCAAACTTGTGACGGAGACACTACTCTATGTTACTTGTAATCTTAAGTCAAGATAGAATGATAAGGGTTTTAGCTAAACTAATTAACAAGCGAATGAGCATAAAAATGAAACAGGAGATGAGGTTTAAACTCAGTAAAGATGCAAATGACAAACAAATGGTTCGATGATGATAATATACGATAAAGGCAGAAGCTTTAGACAGGATACTTGACTCGGGTGCTTCCAAGCTAAACTAATGGGTTAATGAATCATTTTATCAAGCGGTTTCATTTAACTTTGAACTCAAGGCATGTTAATCTTCTCATGAAAGTATTAAACATCTTAACTGATCCTCTTTCATACCAAAATACCTTTTGAGAAGCATAAATCAGTCAGCAGTAAGATTCCGTTCAATATGTCATTTAAGAGAACAAACTATCACTCTCGCGATGAAAGACTCTTAAACCCTTAACCGAGTGGTTCAGACATTTCTACAAACACTTTTGATGCAAGATATGTCTCAGATCTGAACCTCAAGTGATGTGCTTGGATCCAGCTTAGAGATCTCGTCGGTTAAGGAATGAAACATGCAAGACTAGACACCTAAACCCATTAATCTATCTTGAAAGCACCCTAATCTACCTATCTAATGCCGTTTAAACGACTACTCACTGATAATGACGAGCTCACTAAGTCCTTTGCAAGACGTGTAGCTGGTCATGATAAAGAGTTTAATGCTGGACGATAAAAGAAATAAAGAAAGAACAAGATTCTGATGCAAAAACGAGATATCGGATTAGATTAATCAGGTTTCACAAAAGAGGCAAGTTCTTAAAGCTAAAAGATGATAAGAGATAAGATGATTAGGTTTTTTTGGTCCTAAAATGTATTTATAGCAAAGGAAAAGTGTCGCGGGTCAGCCCGGAACAAACCGGGTACTGAGCCGCCTTCTCGGGTCGATGGGTGAGTGCCACGGTGTGTCGGAGAGTGAAGCCGAGGCCTTGATGTCGAGGAGTGCACGTGAGCCAAGATCCAAATGGAGATCTCGTGAAGAACACGTCAAGAACATGCATGAACCCTAGTCTTCGATCCATCTTCACGTGTGTGTTCTTGAGCTGTCTTGTTCTTGATTCTGGGGTTGTGACAAGGGACCTCGCCATAAAATGTTGCGGGGCTTGGTAGTCGAGGGGTTCGGGAGAACGGAGTCCGGCATGCACGCCGAGGCCATTACACCGAGGTGCACGTTCAACACTTAGCCGTTTCCAGCTTCATTTCTTACGTGTGCATGCCTTGATCTCAACATGCCAGGGTGTCAGCACGAGGTCTAGTCCAAAATACTCCCAAGATATGAGCCTTGACTTGAGCAATGTCGAGGTAATGATGCCGAGCACTGGGAAAGCACTTAGCGCGTATCGCAACTCATTTAGGCTTGTATCGACCAACTTGCCTTCCGGAAACAGTAACTTTCAACACACTTCTTCAATTGCTTTGAGACCAGTTCCATAGTCAAGATGACTCAATAAGCTCGAACTTTGGTGAAGAAACCATCGGAGCTTGGGGAGTGGAAGGCTTCCTGAATTTCGCATCTTTGCACAGCATCGGAATCACCGGAAAATAAGCTTTTGGACAGATGTGAACTCCAGAGACCGTATCTTTCGACCCATCACTCTGAATTGAGTGATTCCAGGCGTTCCGGAAAGTTCATTCACAGGTATCAAACTTTGATGAAGACCAGGCAGGCTGGTTCGGACCGGAAGGGCTTCGTCCCTCGTGATCTTTGAATTCCGCTATTCGGTTCTCGGGTACGCGCAATACTGGTGCATCCTCCGGAAACCATATCTTTCTCCTCACTGGTCCGAATTGGATGATTCCAACTGTTCTGGGATCTTTTCTTGATTATCTCCAACTTTGATGAAGACCCCGCCAGCTGATTCGGACTAGAAGGTTCCCCGGATTGCTGTTCTTTGAAACACGCCGGCAAGGACAAGTTTTAACCGAGAAAAGCTTCCTGAGGTAAGGAAAATGACCGAGTGCTGTATACCGCGGTAAGATTTTTGGCCGTAAAATTCTTCTCGCCTCGGCCTAAAATTTCACCTGAGGGAATTTTCACCCGATACTCGATTTTAACCGATTTTGGCCGTTCGGTAAGGATTTTGACCGAGGTTCCAGTCCAGCCGGTATGAGTTTTGGCCGAGAAATTTCTCCAAGCGGTTTTCACCATTTTTGACCCTTTTCTTCACCGTTTTCTTTCCTGCTCATCTTCCTGAGCTCTAAATGTCCTCCAAAGCACCTGATAAAGACTTCAAAACATGCAAAACTCTTTGGGACCTAATGCAAGCCCAAGATCCTATTTTCGATGCCTAAGGACTCAATTTACATGGGAAAACACATGATGAGGACTCTAAAATGCAACTTAAATGATGTAAAATATAGACATATCACCCAACTTAGCCCGTTTCGATCCCAATAGTTACACAGACTTCTTTTCTCTGAACCTTAGATGCGTCCAAGGAATTGAAGACTATATATACATGTACTTAGATCTTTCTTCTATATCTCTTTCAAGCTATAGATAGAGACCAACTTCCAGCCGCTTTATTTTCTTTGCTTTATTCAATTTGTAGAGGAGCTTATCTCACCACTTTGTTCTTCAATAAGAGAATCTTTTCTTCATATCTTTTTTTAACTTTATTGTTTTCTATTAAAATCGATGATGATGTTAAAATCAGCTATGTCTAAGTAATCACCTTGTAGGGTAGATGGTCATAAAAAAGGCTCTAATTGATCGATTAACATATAGGTTTTTAGATTAGGATATCGAGCTTCTTTAGATGGTTATTTTGTTTATTATTATTATTATTAATAATACATGTTTGCTTGATTGATCACCTTGTATCTGTGATTACACCTGATTTTGACCACTTTCAGTATCTTATGCAGGTGTTTTCACTCAGTTCTAAAGGTTTTGTAAGTGTTTTCCATGCTTTGGAGTTTTAAAAGGCTTTTCAGGAAACTTGGAACTTTGGAGTGCATTTTGGAGCAAAAGTACATTTTGGATAAATTCAGACCGTCAGAAGTTTGGCAACCAACGAAGACCTTCTCACCATCAGATCATCTCCAACTTTGCAGACAGTATATAGGAGACAACCAGCTCTTCAACACACTTGGAATCAAAGCAACCCAACGATTAGATCTCTAGATATTATCAATGCATTGAAAGACGATCAACACATGTCCAGTCAAGCACATGAGTTTTCACCCGCGGCCAGCCTTCTCCCCACCGCGGCTCAAGAGGTTTCAACCCCAGTTGACCTATGTCCGAACTTCAGGAGACCAACTAAGGCCCAAGACACTTTCTGTACCCAATTTACAAGCCCTAGACACCCAAGACTTGGAGAAACATTATAAATACTCATTTTTTAGGTCTTTTGTAAGAGATCCTCTTTCTTCTCTTTGAGAGAGAACTCATTTGTAGTTTTAGGTTTTATTTTTATGCATCTGTAGAAGCTTTTCATTGTTACTCTGTCTTCAATAAGAGAAGTTTTTCTGCAACTTTTGTTTTTTTTACTTTTCTTCTTTCTAGTTATAAACCGATGATGATGTCTATCTCAGCCATGTCTGAGTAGTCACCTAGTTGGGTGAAAGGGTAATCCAAAAGGACCCCATGTTCGAATGAAATCTAGGTTTTTAGGAAAAAGGATTTCGATTTTTAACATGATTATCCCATTCATCCAAATCTCAAAGCGGTAATTCTGGATTGATCACCCAGAATCCGATCATAGGTTAAATCTGAACCACGAGAGTGTTGTATCTGGGTTGCTTGAACTGGATCTTATGGACGTCACCATCGTAGGAGACGAAAGCTACCTAAGGAGTATACGTAAGCCGAGATGGATTCGGATCTACAAAGCTTGATCTTGTTCTGGCATGAGAGCGAGAGTTAATTGCCATGAACAAGTGATTAGTTGATTAGGGTGACGAGATCTGGCTAATCTTACATGTGTCTAGCCTAGTTTCAGAGTCATAGAAAATCCTTGCTTAAATTCTTTGTGTTTTAGACATGAACCTTAAAGATGAACCTTGAACCCAGCGCCCTTTTTCATATAGTTTTCAACCGATTCTATATCGAGT